TGTCTGAGCGGACGTCTAGAGACGCCCGCTCAGATCTAGAGAGCTCCTGGCCGGCCGTTTTTTTACTACGGCCGGCCCGGAGGCAGTTAATTTGAGAAACATTTGCGCAAATTATCGCAGGGCCTAAAAATTTAGTATCGCCATATTTTTATTCTACCGGGCCTGCGCTTTCAGAAAATATATGGTTTGGGGGGTCTTTTACAAACGCTAGCAACCCAGCAGTTGAAAATCAAATCAATGGGGAAAAAATTGCAAAAAATGCAAAAATGACTTGGCCAGCTGATTTGAAAAATGTTCCGGAGGGCTTGGCAGCAAAAGGGTTAAAGGAAATGGTAGAAAACTGTTCTTTATTAGACCGCATACTTTAAGGTGTTTCGCAGTTTAAACCTTTGAGTCCTTTGGTCATGTCTGATAGTCCAGGCGCCAAGGGGTTAAAACAAGTTCACAGCTGCAGTAGCAGAGTATAGGGAGTTGTGTATTCTTAGCCCTCGTTCACACCTGAACATTTTGTAGCGCGTTCTACGCTCGACGAACGCTCTACAAAATGCTCAGAAATATATCAATCCCATTGTATTCAATGGTCTCGTTCCCACCTTGGTGTATTTCCGCCCGTCCCTAACGCGCTACAAAACAGCCCACGCCTGAAAAGGTACAGGTACTACTTTGGGCCGTTTTGTTGCGCGTTTCCATTGGGATACAGCCAAGTAGCCTTCGGAAAACGCGCGACGGTCGTGCGACTTTTTTACCGCGAATCGCGGTAAAAAAACGCGCGACGGTCGCGCATATGCAATATGCCTAGGTGTGAACGAAGCCACTGCTAAATTGGATGTAGCAAACATAGGGAACTCCAATCCCTACCACATTTTTAAGAGTATGATATCGGTCTGGTGTAGAATATTTATAATCTAATGTCACAATGTTCCTGGGCTTGGGAGACTACACAATCTAAGCATAAAAGCTCAGTAAATTCTGTAACAGCCAGTCAATTTTATTTTTTTTAATCTGGCGTGTGCTTGGTAGTAGATTAGTATATTTCTTCCCTCTTTTCTTATTTCTATTGAAAAATAAATAATTGAACACCCCTACTGCATTAATGCTGCCAGTTTGACTGGAACCATATGAATATCAGTAGCCTTAAGAACATTTGATTTTGCCCCAGTCTCACACCAGCTCCCTAATTCACACAGAACAAATGTACATGCAGTTTTGCTGGACGAATACCTATGCATAATGCATTATAAATAGACCCCCTAGTATAGTTACCCTAGTGCACCTTTTGCGTAATGTAACTCCAGTATTTTACCACTGGATGTCTGTCTAGCACTCATCTGGAAGGAGATCAGCAACTGATGGGGGGCGGGGGAGGGGGGGGGGGCGGATGTGTTTTATTATATTTGTTTTTTTAATGCTAGACTGCCTGGAAGTATTATGCCTCCTTAAATGTAATTGTCAATTTTGTCTCTCCTTTCCCTTTAGGAAGCCTGTGCTGCTTTGCTCAAACAGTGTTTGCACTATGTGGAGTCCAAGATTTCTAATGACTCAACAAAACAAGCTGCTGGGAAAGTAGAGTTTGCTTCCATTCATAATAAACACCAATGGTCTTCACTAACGAAACAGAATCTTGGACTAGTGATTGATGGGAAAACACTAGCCTTTGCACTAGATATAACCCAGGCAGATACATTTATTTCGCTTGCTCGGCAATGTCGCTCTGTGCTCTGCTGTCGCTCTACACCCCTTCAGAAGAGTATGGTGGTGAAACTTGTTCGAGATAAACTCAAAGCTATGACACTAGCAGTAGGTACGTTGTTTGTGGGGTTTCTTTGCTATTTGTAATGCATGTGCAGATGTTTGGTCTGCAGTGTTTAAAACTGTAACCACTATACAGTGGAGTTTTCAAAAATGGTTGTGTTAGATTATCAAACTGTAAATAGAATTTTGTTCACTTAAACCCTGGTACTGTTAAATGAGGCCTCTAGATGGTTTATATTCAGTGATTCAGTGATAAGATTCAAATGCTCAACCAAGCTTTGGAGCTATAGAAAATAAAACCTGTCTGCACAACTTGCTGCTGTTATGGGTTTTCAACAGCATATTAGCCATGACACTCAAGGCATTTCTATCCAAAACAAGCCCATTTATACAGTAAGCTTGAATGTATGTATCTGCTGCAATCTAATTAGTACTTGGTATACACAAAAGTACTAGTTTTCACCCTGAGGTGTGTTTTTAATTGTTGTGAATATGTCTATAATAAAAAACTATCAGTTCCTGTTCTTGAGGTAGGAACAGGACATTGTGGGAAATATGGGAAACAAAACACCCAAAAATGGGGTCTGTATTTTGAAGTGCATACCCTATCGGGTTAGAAGACTAATGATATATGCAGTCTTTTTGGATGCCTGCCAAGATGTAGAATTTCATATCCTGTAATATGTATTATGTGATTTTACAGGAGATGGGACCAATGATGTTAGCATGATTCAGGTGGCTGATGTTGGTGTTGGAATTTCTGGGCAGGAAGGAATGCAGGTATATTGTATTTCTTTTTGTTTGCGTTTTTCATAACTATTATGGTGAAATGAAATATACTAAAGTTACGTGTAATTTTTATGGTCTGCATTACTGAAGGGAAGATATTGTTCCTGCCTTTTTTCCCAGTTTAGAAGTTTTTAGTGCTATAATAGGTTTCTTGGAACTTGGTAAGCTACTGTGTAAGGCGGCAGATATAAGTATGGAACTTTTGATCCGATCTAAATTTGGAACCAAGTCCAAAACACTGCATGTAGTCTGTCTGCAGAACTATGTCCATCTGTAATTAAGTTGCACATTTCCCCCAAGAAATTGGCATAAGTGGGATACGTCCTGTGCTTTTAAAGTTCTATGATATATTCTGAATTAAACTGCCCCCCAGCCCCTCCCCCCCGTGTGCTTGCTCAGGCCAGTGTAATTACTAGCACCCACATGGGAATTTTACACGTTGGGTCCCAGTCTTTTGTTGTTTGAGTGCTGGCAGTGGTTCCAAGTGTAAGTGTGTAATGGTTGATACATTGTACCAATATGTTAGTGTATTTTATTGCAGCTCTTATGTTCAGATTAAAGGAAAACTGCACTTTAAAACAAAGTGCACTTATGCGTTAGGCCTTTTTAAGGTGACATGACCGTTGCCTCCCTCCCCTTGCATTGATGAATACTTACTAAGTTCCAACGAGCCTGGTCTTGGTTGTTGAAATCCCGCACCTGTACAGTACATCCCCATTGACTTCTATGGGGCTCATTTCCCAGCAGTTTAAAGGGTTGTGCTTTGATTTAATCAGTCAGCTCAAGCAAAACCATAGGCTTTTGCCTCGCTGGCTTTAATACCATCATGGTACCATATCCATTAATTTAGAAGTCCTCATAATTATTAAAGGAAGGAAATCAAGGTTGACAGCCAGGTGACTAGCATGTGGATTAAGAATAAAGCAATGGCGGCCTCCAGGTTTTTCCTTAACACTTCCTGCATATCTGTGTGCCAGGAGAACTCATCTGGAGATCTGGTGTACAAGAGTAGACATTTTAATCCATGTAGACGACAAAGAAATCTGCAAAAACACTATGCCGTCTATTTGATGATGCAGCCTTACTGTATGCAGTCGTTCATTGTAACAGATTCACAAATAGAAAAGGGTTGGAGGCTACAGCAGGATATTGCAGTCTGTATTAAAAAGTGAATCCCTGTGAGAGTAGCTCTCATTCGGTTTAATTCTGAATAAAATGCTGTTAAACTGGCTATGTATGCCCTGTAGCATGTTGGGCATTTTCCAGATGTGAACGGATTTGGCTCAAACACATAAAAAATGTCACACAAATGTTTCTATCTATATACGATTTATAACAGGCTGCATTTGAGTCACTTTTACTTAATACAACAGCACTTCCACTAAAACTGTACTTGTCCTAGTGGTCGCTAAAAAAAATGTGTTAATTTTATCGAAGAGAACTCGTGCTTCAAGAAAGCTGTCTTCAGCCTCCTGGATGTAAGTTGTTTTGGGCTGAGTAATTATAGTAAAGTGTCTACCACAGAATAGATAGTGAAAACATTGTGTATCATGTGCAAATAGCCTTGTAATACATCCTGTGTGCTCTGCAAAGTTTGCTCCCAGGAGATGGGTTACTCATTGAGCTCTGTGCCCAGTAGATTTTCTGTCTTAGACAGTACCCTCTAGTGGTGTCCAGATGGATATCAACACAGGCCAAGCTGCTGCAAACAGTTTATTTGTAGTAAAGTTTGCCCCCATCATCATATTGGTATTTTTCATAAGCTGCAGAGACAGCTACAGATGCATAATGTTGGTGAAAGTGCAGTTATTGTTTAAATAGATACAAATTTAATTAGATATACATTATGAATAAAGGGAATGTGCTTTCAGTTTTTTTCCTGCGCTTTTATACAGAAACAATTCTAAAATGTATTACTGCCATTCAATGCAGCGGATTAGTAAGCCAGAACAATTTTACGTTCATGCTTGCTTTCTTTATGAAAAATCTATCTTGTAAGAATTTTTGTTTTTTTATTAATCATGGTGTATGTTGCTGAAAATCCATAGCTAAAAGTTAGTTCTAGCCCATTCGTTTAACAAATGCATAGCCCATACATTACTTTTCTATATAGTTGCTATAGATGGCTCCATCTAATTCCTTTTATGCAATCAATTTAGTTTCCCTTGGTGGCACTAAACACACACAGACTTTACAAGAGTTGTAAAAACAATTTGTTTTTTATTCTTCAAAAAAGGAGTGACACAAAAAAGACCTTTTATGGCTGTAGACATTGAATTTGTAGAAAATTGAATTAACCTCTATTTGCACTTTGTATTGTACTAAGTAAAGCAAATTGGTTTCTGTTTGTACTCCATTATACCTACCAGAGCAAATTCTAAACCCAGCAGATCAGACTGGCTTCCAGTTATATGCTAGTATACACATTACAGATTTTACATCTAATTGCACCATGGAAAAAAAAAAACCTTCCGTGGGTTCCCATTAACATGCTGTTGGCTGCTTACCTAACCTGGGAGTGCAGGGTGAGGTAGTCATGTGTGGATGGATACAGCATAGGACAGAAATATAGGTATGTAGTAAGGTTAGGGGCTTGTATGTTTTGCTGATCTTCCAGCTATGTTCCTGCCTGTGCAGGATACAGGAAGTAAACTTCTTTAACCACTGGGTTATGCAGCTACAGGTGATTAGACACTGGCAAATCAGTCAACGCCATAAGACAGCCCTTTATAACCACTCCCAGCCTGCCTGTTGTTTCTGGTGCCCTTAGATGGACATCTTTGCTCTGCTTTGGAAGAAGTATACCCTTTTCTGACTCTTCACTTTTTTTTCTTCACTGAAAACTCTTCTAGCAACTTTACTAAGCTGCTGAAGCCACTGCAGCACGGACAGCAGCTACCCTATCCAAGAGGGGGCATGGAGGAGCAGCAGTCTGTGTCCCCTTCGATCCCTGCTGCATCTGCCGATACAGGCGAAGAGAGCAGCAAGGATCAAAGGGGACACAGACCGCAGCATGCAGCGGCTCCCAGTGAGGAGGAGAATGGGGAGCAGAATGGCAGGTGAGGCTGGTGCGAGATTGAGGTATAGAGCTCTCACTGGTGGCCACCAGCTGCAGGGGTCTGTGTCCCCTCCCATCCCTGCTGGGAGCAGCGGGAATCGGAGGGGACTCGGAGCCCATGAAACAAGCAGAATCAACTAATCAAATCAACTAATCAATAATGAGAATCATTGGCAAGGATTCTTATCGATTTAAATCGATTGTTGCAGCCCTAGTCCAAAGCTCTGGGTTGGAACCCTGAATTCATTTTAATAGACCCTGAAGTTCTTAATCTCTTCCAACTTTTTCTTGTGGACAGTTTTATTTGTGTTGATGGACTGGCAGATTCCTCCTTACATCAAGAAGGCACAGGCTTTTACTTCCTCCATTAGGTAAAGTTCCTTTAGTCTGTCCCAGGCATCCGGTCCCAAGCTCAAGCAGTCATCACTGTTCAGACGCTAGGCTTGCCAAGACTGGGAGCAAGCCTTCCTCACAATGAAGGGGTGCTCCTTCTTTTACAAGTGGGGCCATGTTGGTCAGATTTCTTGACACACTGGACTCAGGACATTTGCAATGCCTGGGTTCAAAGTGTCATGGCCAAGGTCTACAAACTGTAGTTTTGGTCCCTCCTGCATCTATGATCCACCCACACAGGCTGCGAGTGGGAGGAGTTATGCAAGTCTGTTCTACAGCTTTGATTGACTTGTGTCCGATCACCTGAAGCTAGCTGCCTAACCCAGTGGTTAAATAATATAATTCTCTGTGTCCATGGTGTACTCCAAGAAAAGGATTTTTACAAATAAGACATAATTCCTGGGGGTTTTTTTGTTAATAGAGGGCAATTCATCGGAATGTTGGGTTACTTTGCCATTATAAAATCAGAAATTCAAGTCACAGGCTAATGTAACTCATGAGAATGTACTTTAAAATGCTGAAACAGAGTTTTAAAGGAAAACTATCTCCAAAACATCAAGGCAATAGAATCAACCAGCAGACCAGACAATTTAGTTCTATAGCCACATATTACTGTACATTTTCCGTAAAGTGGCAACATATTACACTGAGCTTTGTGTATTATAAACTGGTGCAGTTTATCTGTGCGAAGACATGATGCAGGAAGGGAAAGGGTCATATCTGAATGAGTGTTCGGATAGGCAAAAGAGACATTTCAACTCATAGCTTGGATTTCAAATCCGTAATCTCTAACCCCTGATGTTTAGATTACATAGAGGGAAGTAACTAAAGGGAAGGTTCTTGGGCTGGGCAGGGCTTGGCTCCAACACATATACATGTAGACCACTTTTTTTAAAAGTTCTTCTTTCCTTACAGGCGGTGATGGCCAGTGACTTTGCTATTCCTAGATTTCGATTTTTGGAAAAGCTGCTTCTTGTTCATGGTCGATGGTGCTATTCTCGACTGGCCAATATGGTTTTATACTTCTTCTATAAGAATGCTGTAAGTAAAAAATACTGAGGTACAGGTTGTTTAATAACAGTTCTGTTCTTTTTCTAACCGGTGACTTCAGGAAAGGTTATTTGTTCCACAAACTCCTGTGTATGTATCGGTCTTTTAGTCATAGATCACGAGGATTGGAAGCTGCAGGATAGTCTTTGGCTTATGCATATATTTTTAGTTTATAATATCTACAATAGTAATGCCAAAGTATCCGAGCATAAATTTAAGTGACCTGCTTGGGCTTCTGCATCACCTAGCAGAACACTCTGTTTTGTAACTGGAAAAAACAAGGTTCTCATCAGTATTTAGTGGTCATATAAAATGTTTGTGACATTGCTTTTTAAGTTTAAATTTCCACTTTTGCAGTCAAATTTGAGAAAATCCCACTCAAATTGTGTTGTCACACAACACACCTAAAAATATTTTAATTAACCACTTCCTAAATGGGAACGGGCGTTTAAAATGTTCCCAAGGTGGCGCGCACCAGCGGGAAGCTTTCAAAATTGTAAACATCTGGCTGTAGAGCTGCCCGATCGCTTGTATTTTGTGCCGCTCAGTGTCCTAACATGTTTGGTGTCTATTTAACTGACATGACCCCGTTTTTTTATATTTTACCAAAAAGTTGTGTAATAAGTGTTTCATATTATAATGTAGGAAAAACTGGGGTTTTTTTGGCCCAACATTTTTAATAGAGTAAAAAAAAAACCCCAGTGGTGATTAAATACCACCAAAAGAAAGCTCTATGTGTCCCCAAAAAGTGGTATAAAATGTATTTCAGTACAGCGTTGCTTGAATAAATGTCAAAGTACCGCAGCGCTGAATACTGAAAAATGGCCTGGCCAGGAAGGAGGTGTAACATATTTCTTATCTTTTAGATGCCTCTGTAGAGCAGGCCTTTGGACAGACTTCAAGCTTCTCTCTACTGTTTTAAAAGAGACAGGCTGTCCCCACAGAAAGGATAGGGACACTTTAAGCTTCCTGTATTAACATACAGGGCTTCTAAATCAACCCTTTTGTTAACTGTGTTCAGATTTGGTTTACAACTGATATGAGCTTTTTCAGCACAGTTGAAACGGGGTTAATTATGGTAAACATTAATCTCTCCATCCCACAGAGGAAACCTTTTCATTCAGAAAGAGCAAGTCAAATATAAGCAGCAATTTTTAAACCATCTGTGAATGAGAACATGATGTAACAAATATAAAATAGGTTTTATCCCAATTTGACTGGAAGTAAACCATCAATCAATTATAGGTGCCCTGTACCCATATATAATGGTACTCGTAGAAATGTTTTGTCTGTTTTATTGCTATGGCATGTCCACTTCAGCATCACTATCATGTATGTAAATAATTATGAACCATGTATTAATGGTATTTATATACTGCACTGTAACTGCTTTACACTGTTCATGGGATCATTCACATGGCCTGGTTTACAATTTTATGTCTCTTCCAGATTTATACAAGAACCAACTATCACACGTTCTAACCTGCTCTGGTTGTAGTAATGTGTGCTTTGTTTTCTTTGTGTTAAAGTAAAATGTTTTCTTTTATTTCTAGATGTTTGTGGCCCTTCTGTTTTGGTACCAGTTTTTTTGTGGCTTCTCTGGATCAGCCATGATCGACCAGTGGTATTTGATCTTTTTTAACTTGATGTTTTCATCCATTCCACAACTTGTTACCGGGATTCTTGACAAAGACCTTCCTGCTGACATGTTGATTGCTGTCCCTGAGCTCTACAGGAGTGGACCAAGTATGAAGGTAACTAAGTTGCTCACCTATATTATTTCACTATGACGCAATAACATTTCATTGCCAGCAGATCTTGCAGGGTTGGCTCAAACCAATGGTGGTCAACCCAGGAAGCATAGGGGGCCTTATTTGTGGCCTCTGACATTGTACAGTGTTGGGTATATATAATGTTGCAGTAGACCTTCAGACTGAAGACATCCTTCAGGAGATTATCATTGGAAGTGCTGTTAGAACTGGAGATATGATGCTGGAGACAGAGACTGGGAACATGTTACTTGTGAGTGCTAGTGATCACTGGCATTACAGCCCCTTTACAAGGCTATGGTTCCAATTCCATTGCCTTGAAAAAAAAAAAAAAATTGGTAAGATGCAGTATATTAGTTGCTTTTACATATGCTTTCTAAACTAAACTACAGTGGTACCCCGGTTCTTGAAAGCGCAGAGAGGTGACAAGAACGTGCAGAATGTTAATGAAGGTGAGAAGAATGTGCAGAGCGTTAATGAAGGTGACAAGGATGTGCAGAGCGTTAATGAAGGTGACAAGGATGTGCAGAGCCTTAATGAAGGTGACAAGGATGTGCAGAGCGTTAATGAAGGTGACAAGAATGTTCAGAGCGTTATTGAAGGTGACAAGAATGTTCAGAGCGTTATTGAAGGTGGCAAGAATGGTGGTAAAAAGGAAGTGCAGCGCAATAATGAAGGTAACAAGAACGTGCAGCGCAATAATGAAGGTAACAAGAACATGCAGCGCAATAATGAAGGTAACAAGAACGTGCAGCGCAATAATGAAGGTAACAAGAACGTGCAGAGTAAGAATGGTAACAAAGTTTTCAAAGAAAATAACCATTGAATTAAAGAAGAAAATGGTAGAAAAGCATGATCGTGGTATTCGTGTGACTGATTTGGCCTCGGAGTACAAGATGACGAAGTCGACCATCTAGACTATTTTGAAGAATAAAGATGCCATCAAAGCAGCCGATGTGGCAAAAGGAGTAACCATGTTAACCAAGCAGAGGGCACAAGTACTGGAAGAGGTGGAAAAACTTCTGTTAGTGTGGTAGAATGAGAAACGGCTGGCAGGTGATAGTGTTAGTGAAGCTATGACCTGTGAAAAAGCCAGGAAATTGCACAGTGATTTGCTGCAGCAAAACCCCTCCACATGTTCATCTAGTGATGAATGTAAAGCCAGTAGAGGGTGGTTTGAAACATTTTGCAAGAGAAGTGGCATCCACAGTGTGATAAGACATGGTGAGGCTTCCAGTTGTGACAAGGCCGCTGAGAAGCCTACAAGAAAGACTTTGCCTTCATGAAGGCAGAAGGATACGTCGCTCAAGTGTTCCAACTGCGACGAAACAGGGCTCTTTTGGAAGAACCTGCTGAACAGAACCTATATCACGCAGGAGGAAAAGGCACTGCCGGGGCACAAGCCCATTGGACAGATTGACCCTTTTGCTGTGTGCGAACGCAAGTGCCGATCTGAAGATTAAGCCACTACTGTTCATTCAAGGAACAGAATGTGAACAAGGCCAGACTGCCTGTCATGGGGAGGGCCAACGCGAAAGCTTGGGTCACAAGGCAATTGTTCATGGAATGGCTGCACGAGGTGATGACTATGGGTCTGTGGTTAAAATTGTTTTCTTTTTCAATATGGTTCAGAACGGATTAACCTTATTTACATTGAACCCTATGGGAAAATGTGATTCGGTTCGCGACCAGGATCGTGGAACCAATTAAGTTCGTGAACCCAAGTACCACTGTATTAACGAAGTATATAAAATTAGCAATTATTTTACTTAATTCTTCCTCCTGCTCTGCTCAGAACCATAGTAATGGAAATTGGAACAAGAGTGGGGCTGTGCCCATAGAAACCTATTTCGTTCCTTGTTTTCATTTACCAGTGTATGAACTTGATTGCTCTGGTCAGCAGCTATACTTTTGCTAGTTTGTGCTGCAGTTTTGTTGGGCTTACACCATACAGGGCAGATACCCATTACAGAATAGCAATATGACACAGCCTTTCAAAGCTGAACAGTCAATGTTTTCCCAGATACCTTTAGCCTATTTTCTTATGGTCTTCAATGAATGTCATTGAACAAAAATAATTTGTTAGCACAAATCCAATTTGATAATGTTAGGACAGAATTAAGCGTTTTTATACAGAAAAGAAAAAAAGCATAGCTAACCAGAAAGACTGATTTATTAATTTTTTTTCTAATTGAGATCTTTACTTTTTAGGACCATATTTTTCCTTTCCATTCATGACAACCTCACACATTAAGCATAGGTGCTATTTTACTGTACCAGTGTCTCTTCCCTTACATACAGTTCTATGCAAGTGGCTGTGCTTGAAGAATGGGGTCTTGTATGTCAAGTGCCTTTTTAATGTGCTGTGTGACTAAAAGCTGTCGTCTTTTCACACATACAAAAGCTTGACTTCAGCTGACAGTCATGTCCACTCCAGTTACACTGGGTATTCACATGGAAAAACTCAACATGCTAGAGATATGACTGTATGCAAAGAAACAGAATGTCAGCTGATTATAATGTGTCATTATCACTGATGAGTCACTACCTGTTGCCTTTTAACATTTTGTGTCTATGCAGCGGTAGAGTTGAGACTGAATGCAAAGGATTTTAGGCTAGGATTGAAAACTGTTAATTTCCTTAAAGTGCTAACCCTGTTGTGTATCTTTCTGTATAGGAGTACAAGCCACATATGTTTTGGCGGAACATGATTGATGCTTTCTACCAAAGCCTTGTATGCTTTTTCATCCCATATTTTGTAAGTTGTCTGCATTTGTTTATATATAAAACTTGTTTGTCACAGGCCCCGTGTTCACTCCATTTACATGTACCCTTTTTATTTTACAGACTTTCTACGACTCTGATATTGATTTGTTCACTTGGGGAACACCTATAGTCACTTGTGCTCTTTTCACCATTATGTTGCATTTGGGAATTGAGACCAAAACCTGGGTAAGAAAATGCTCTTTGTAGTGCAGTCAAATTGCAGAGCAGCATTGTTCCTCCTTGGAAAGGGTAGTTTTAGGCATACATATATTTTTAATGGATTAAAGACAAGTTAAAGGCCAACTTCAGCTAACACAGCCTGAAGGCCTCATATGTGCATAGCCCCTCCCAAAAGCCAGTCCACAGCTTGCATTAGGGCTGAGGACTTTTGAGAAGATTACTGAAGCAGGGTACTGTGAAGTCTTCAGGAAGCTATGTACAGCACCCTGTGTGCCCTCACCAGCAAATGTGCTGCCTGCATTGCATAGGGAAGTAATGTCTATAATAAAGTTAATTTAAATGGAATGTTTTTTTAAATTTGTTAGCATTTATTGGTATGGGGGGGGTAAATCCAGGGAAGGCATATATGTGTATATATATTTTGGCTTTAAAGACAGAAACCTGCTAAATGCCACCTCTGGCGCTCTCAAGTTAAGTTAACACAATGCATGTGAATCATTTTATCTAAGAAAACAAAATAATAAATTTCCCCTTTAAGGGCTTGCTATGTACTTTCTATTGATTTTCATTACATTACTTTCTTTAAGAGGTTTTCATATTAAAATGACACTAAGCTCAGGAGTTAAATCTTAAAAATGAGTTAGGCCTGGTTCGCACCTGTACGTTTTGTAGCGCGTTCAACGCTCTACGAACGCTCTACAAAACGCTCAAACATGAAAATCCAATTGTTTTCTATGGGTATGGTTCACACCTTGCCGTATTTCAGCCCGTCTGAACGCGCTACAAAACGGCCTATGCCTGAAAAGGTACATGAGCTTCTTTTGCAGCGTTTTTGTTGTGCGTTTCCATTGGGATACAGCCAAGTAGCCCTTGGAAACGCGTGTATGTCGCGCATTTTTTTACCACGAATCGCGGTAAAAACGCACATATTCGATACGCCTATGTGTGAACAGAGCCTAATTTTTAAGATTTAAGAAAAAATAACTCATTTTTAAGATTTAACTCCTGAGCTTAGTGTCATTTTAATATGAAAAGTAAAGTACCTTAACTATTAACAAAAATGTATCTTATTTGTGTATCACTCAGCTGCAGATCCTCCAATAATCTCTGAATTCATGCTGACGCTGTCCTTCCTTCTGGAGGGTGACTACTTTTGTTCCCCATGGTCCCTGTGTGTGTTGTAAAGTAGTCACCGCTCCAAGATCACTCCTGTGATGGACTACAATCTCATGTTTAGTTTACTCATTTGTAAGGAAGTTATAGTTTATCACGGGAGCAAGCTTGGAGCAGTGGCTATGGATACAGGGACCTGGAGAACAAAAGTAGCCACCCTTCAGAAGGATGGACAGTGTCGGCAGGAATTCAAAGATGATTTGAGGATCTAGAGATGCAAAAATAAGATACAGTATTGTTAAATAGTTAAGGTACTAGAATGTATTTTTAAAGGAGAACTATGAGGCGAGTGAAAATCGCTCAGCCTCATAGTTCTAGCCGACCTGTGACAATGAAACTGTCACAGGTCGGCTCAGTAGATCGGGAAGTGAGCGAACACATACCGTCTCGCGCTCACTTCTCGATCTATCCGTGCAGAGAGCCATGACTATCACTCATGGCTCCCTGCAGGGATTTTCCCCCCCCACAGCTCGCGATATACTGAGCTTTGGGTGACGGAAGGACGCTAGTTTGTGTCCTCCCGCTACACTTAGGAGAACTATGGGGAAAAGCCCTGACCCCATAGTTCTCCTTTTAAGGTTAAACTCCTGAGTTTAGTGTCACTTTAAGTGACATAATGCTTTTTTACCTTGTCTCAGAACTTAGAAAAGTTGTCTTGGAGCTTGTTTACTTTTTAAAATTAAGGGATTCACAATGTGTACTGCAGCCTCGTAGTAACTTACCCAAGCTCTTTGCAGACTGTGAGCCCATACACTCTTCCCTAGTTCAGCTGCCATGATAAAAATGGCTTTAGAATATCGAACAATGGAATTGCTTACGTCTTTGGATAGTTAAACGTTCAGTGCTGCTTGTAGAGCTGGCATTGTAAACTGCAGCTATGTATGCAAATGCATTCTAAATTCTGTACAGTTTAGTTTATATGTAATGGTAACACATGTTAAAACTTCTTTGGCTTTGCTAAGCTGTATAAGATTTGTAAGTGTGAATGGGCAAGCCTAAGCAAGCCCTTCATTGTTGGTATATATGCCTGCCTTTGCAGATTGCTTCCATTGATCTGCACCCTTAGCAGTAGGTTTTCTATGGGTTTTTTTTATTAATGATGGCAACTTAACTGATACCTTTTATGTTTCCAGACTTGGATCAATGTGTCCACGATTGTGTTCAGCATCCTTCTGTTTTTTTCTGTGGCTATGATTTACAATTCATCCTGTCCAACATGCAACCCTCCATCAAACCCCTACTGGACCATGCAGAGACTCCTCACCAATCCTTTGTTTTATTTAATTTGTATGTTGTCACCCATTGCTGCTTTATTACCCAGGTATTTTACATTGTGGTTTTTTTTTTCCTTTGTTCATTTTCCCTTTCATGTTGCCTTACACAGAGGTTGTCTTATTTATTTTGAAGTTCTGTAGTTGTAATTTATTTTCATACTGCCATATAAGACTTTGAATGTAAATTCTGATGAATCATTCTTTGTGACTATAGCATTGACATTCCATGTTCCCCAAGAGACTTGAAGCTGGTGGGAAAACCGAAACTGGGTATTTGTGTAAAGCTGAAATATTTGCTTTGCTTATTACTAGTGGTATACAGACTACCCCTTTGGTATTTCACATATTTTGATGTATGGAGAATGAAGCTGGAGACATGTGACTGGGAGATCTCGCAGATGGGATATTGAAAACTATTGCATAGGAAGCTGACCCAGGCAGTAGCAGAGTGATCATCCTGACTAGCAGAGGTGTTTATCACTAGTGGCTGCCCAAAATAACAAATCCTTTGGCAGGTCAAACAGTTAAAACAGGTGTTTTAACCAGAAATTAAGCGGTTTGCTTGGAGTTTTAGAATAATGTAATGTTTCAGTACTTGACCTGTAAGGTATCGAAGAAGGAATGTTGGCTGAATTGTCGGACTCCTTTGGCTCATACTTGTTCTAGGCATTTATTTTACAAGTATTGACTTTTAAAGGTTTGTCTACATGCAAGCTTTTCTTTTAACTCTAAAGCAGGGGTTGACAAACTGTGGCCCTCCAGCTATGATACAATTACAATTTCCATTAGGCATTGCAAGGCTGACATCCATAGGCATGACTCCTGGAGGCAGTTGCATAATGGGATTTGTAGTTTCACCACAACTGAAGGATCAGAGTTTTAAAGCAATCAGCTAGCATTGCAAATATCGCAATCCTATAGGCACAATGTTTTTATCTATACACAAGGGCACGTGTGCCTAGATTTTGGATGTAAACAAAACAGCACATTGTTTAAAAAAAACAAAAACATATTTATAGAGCACAAATGGTCATTGCGCTACACTGGCTTTAGCAGTCTGAAGCAAATGAGTGGATGGTAACCTGATAGTCTTATGGTCAGCTCTCCACCCACCAGTCACACAGCTGTCTGCTGAGTTAAGCAGAGAACATTATATGGGGCACTGCAGCTCTACATTGCATTGCCTGGATTTTATCAATGAGCTGTAAAATGCAGGCAATGCAGAATACTGTGGAATAACAATTTCTTAATCGTATAGTACAGAACACAGGCCCTTTAAATCTTAGACAATGGGTTACATGCCACCTTAGGTGACTGGACACTGGCAAAAGGAAAAGGCTGCAGAGATAACCCCCATATAACTTGTAGCTCTTTCAGCATGCCTCCATTTTTTTGCTAGTGCCCTTAGGTGATGGACATGTCTTTGAGAGAGACATGCCTCATTCTTACATGCTCTTGTTGCTACACGATTCTTCTAGCAAGTTTTTGGTTTCCTATCTGCTTTGTAGCCGATGGGGGCACTACATTTTAGCAGCATTCCAGATTGGATTAGAGGACCATACCCACACCCCAACTGGAAGAAGATGCAGGGACTGCCTGTAATATTGCTTTGGGCACTGGATCCTGCATTGGTGCTCACCTTTGCACCTAGTACATCACATATAGTAAGGGTACTATTCAGGCTCAAAGCCATGGTCCACAGCGGCATCCCCCTTGTCTGTCTGCAGGATCAAGTTGGAAGGCATCCCGCACAAGCGACCGCGACGAGTGACATGGAGCTGTTCAACAGAACAGCTCCATTGAAAATCATTGGACGGCGACTAATCGCGATATTGCGCAGCAAATTTGCGGGATATCGTGACAGAAATCGCGCGATTAAATGCCCAGTGTGAATGGGCACTTACTGGATGTGGTTTTCATTTGCAAATCTCCATTCATTTCAAAATTGAACGTTAGAAGAGAACTATGGGCCAACCTTTTTTGCCCATAGTTCTCTTTAAGATCGCAGGAAGACATACTATGTCCTCCTGTGACGGAAAACTCTGCATATAGTGAGCTATTACTCAGTATATGCTGACAGCACAGAGCTGCGCTGTAGCCGGGTCTGATGCCGACAATATTATTGGGATCCACCCCGCCACCTGATTGACAGCTGGCTTTGCCTCTCTAGAGGTAGAGCCAGCCATGTCCGTCACTCCAGTCAGCGCTGACTGATGGGTCAGCGCTCTCTGCAGGGAGAAGATCGAGAACTCCGTGAATGGCGGTATTCGATCATTAGAGCCAACATGTGACAGTTTCAGTGTCGCACACCGGCTCTAATTATGGAGAAGACTGTCACTTTCCCCATAATTCTCCTTTAAAATTAAAGGAAATTTCAATTGAGATTCATCAAGTGTGTGATGGCATTATCGGGTGGTAAAGATCTTTCGTACAAAAGTTGGTTCGAAGATCTACTAGTGTATGGCCAGCTTAAGGCCTCCTCTCCGTAAAGGTTATTTTCTTCTACCTTAACAAGGATGTTATTGTTCCTTTCTTGTGTGCTGCTCCAAAACATCCAAAGGAAACTTCTCTCCACGCTCTGTATGGGGATATACATCTCTTGAGTTTACCTTTCTTCTACTGCCTCCTTTCAGTGTCAGATTTCCTCTGACCTTCCTGAGGGATCACACAGGGGGCTCCCTGCTTCTCATTCTACTGCTAGGTGGATTAGACAGGTCGTCATTCAGGCCCAAAGTTTGAAGGATAAGGTTCCTCCCTTTCCTGTTAAAGCTCACTCTACAAAACTGACGCTTGTTGAGGGAGAGAGGGGTTATATAGAGGCTCTCTGCGCAGCCTTTTCCCCTTGCCAGTATCCAATAACCTGAAGGTTGTAAGGTTGTAAATAACTCGGGGTCTAAGACTTACGATTTTTTACTTATCTGTAAAATTCTTTTCTTATCTTTATTATCCGCTCTCTGTTAAAATGAGCCCTATAGTAGTGATACTCCTCTTCTGCATTGGAATCTTAGCAACATGAGTACAATGTTACTTCCTGTATTTGCATTGCTGCTTTTATATACTTATGACTTTACTTCACTTTAATTTTAGGTTTTTGTACAAGTCCATCCAAGGAACAATGTTTCCAACACACGTACAGGTTGGTCGTCAAGTGCTAAAAGCTCATCCAGAATGCCTCACTCGTATTGTAAACAGGTTACATTCCCACAGTGCACCTGTGCCAGAAAAACAAATCAGTACTACCATATCAACGGTTAGTGATTTTCATCTTGGAAGAAACCAAGCAGAAACCATTGTGGACCAAGAGAAAGAGACTCAAATGCTATGCTTTGCTAATCCAGTTAAAGGATCACCTGAAAAAGCATACTATACCAGTCCAGATCCTTCTTTTTCTGTTAAGATAAAAGACCAAGTGGGGGCAAGTGCCAATTCTTACCCCCGTGACACTTCTATGGAAGCCTTGTGTGTAGATGAGATGTTGCAGTGGGATCCAAGGAAGGATCAGTATGACATTGGATTGGTAAACTGGATTACATCCACTCCTTTGTTTAAGGATTCTGGAAGGCCAAAGCAGCTCTCTCTTAGTGTTCAGGACACATCCAAAGACTCTTCCATAGTGCCGTCAGATCTAAGTATTCCCAAAGACTCCAACCAAAGCTCAAGCAGCATTTTACCAGAGATGGTAATTAGGACCACGGGCAACGGGGATATGCAAGAAACAACTTTTTTATAAATTTATATATATCTTAAAAAGACTCTATTTATATTTTCTATTTGCACAGTTACATTTTAGTTAAATTACTGTTTCAGTATATGAAGCAGGAAGTTGGCGGTACAGGATTGGGGTTTTTTTTTTTCGGTTTTATGTAAATATGTTGTTTTTTTCAAAGCTTTAGAAGAAGAAAAAAGTATATAAGCAGAGGGATTTTTAACTTTTTTCTTTTTTTTTACAGGTTAACTGGCTTTACCAAATTCTGAAATATATAAGAGAGAGTTTATTTGTAGAGATAAAGTTTTTATATTTTATGTAACATTGTATACCATGGTGCCTTTCTTCTGTAAGAAGATATTCTCAGCTTCACTGACTGCCCGGGCCTGGGTCATATTCTAAAATTTACTATGATGTATGCTGGATTTCTTTTTTGTTTTTTTTTCTAACAGCATAGGTTTAGGAAATGGAAACGGTTGTATATAAAAATGGTGGCTCTGGTGCATAATGTTTTTTTGTAAATGTTGCATAATATAATATATCTGCTAACTTGAGAAGGTTATTTGAGCTATTTAAAATGTAAAAATATAACCGTAAAGGATCACTAAATCTAAATGCAAGACATAAAAAGAAGCTACTAATAACATTCCTGTTCTGGAACATAGTGGTCCTAATTCATCAAGCTGCAGTATGTGCTAATTAGCGTTTAAATCAAATCTAAACCCAAAAACTAAAATTGAGTATATTTTACCAGCTCTTGGATGTGGTGGCGGCGGCGGCATTAGTTTTCATCAGAATTTTTCTCCCCTATTTTCACCTGGTTATCCTGCCAGTGACACACTTCTGTCTTAGGGTGACAACACTTGCTCACTGTAAAGTAACTATTGACGAGAAGCGTTGTCATACTAGAAAAGAAAGTGTGTGAGGATTACAAAACACCTCCTTCACCTCATTAAAACTTAGGGGAGAGATGTTCTATCATTTCTATGTGAACTTCGCTGGCCTGATAGTGTTGTCCTGTACACTTTGTAGTGTTAACTGAAACAGTAATGGGTTTCTGACAGGACCTCTAGGTATGTGTTTGCTCATCAAACAGTGATACCTTATTTCTATGTTAATATATTTAACAGACAATAAGGGAGCAAATAAGAGAAGTTAATTGTTAAGAGTATAAATACATTTTAAAGTGTATTCCCATTTTTGCAGTCAAATTCAAGAAAAGCCAAAGTATGCTTATGTGTTCCTATTCACACAGCATACCTAAAAATCCTTCTGACTTTTTAGATGTTTCTTTGGTGAAGGCCTTTGTGCAGATTCCAAACTACTCTGAGCTTCCTATCATTAACATTCTATACTTCTAAGTCTTTTAACCCTTTTGATAGGGCAGACAGAGTGCAAATCTATTTTATTACCGATAATAAAATCTGCCAGCATAGTACAGACAGACTAAATTGGAGTAAACCTAAGACCCGCCTTAAAATGATATATGGGGGAATCTAAGTAGGATTTTTAAGCAAAAAAAAAAAAACCACTTAAAAAGGTACACAGTGATTTTTAATGATTTTTAATCATGTGCAATGTAGATGGAATACATAATAAAATAGGTGTTATCCCAATTTGGCTGAAAAGTGGAAATACACTTCAATGCATGCTAAAATGACATGCAGGGTTAACTGCTCAATTTTGCTAAAAAAAAGTTATATTCGCCCAAACTGCTGAGCCTGCTCCCTGCTTCTCTAGTCCCTGAAGCCTCTCTCCTCCTACACTGCAACATTGGAATGTTCCTTTGTGTCCTCGCGTCTATACACCGTGTATAAGACAGGGTCTTAGACCTCTGCAGCGGAGGAGGAAAGAGGCCGGAAGGAGTGTGATCTAAGGCCAAGCTGGCTCTGCGGTTCAGATGAGTATAACTGATGTATATAAAATTGTATTAGCACCTAGACAAAAAGAAGCTGTTAACCCTTGCAGTGAGGGGGTAAACCCCACTGCAAGGGTTAATAAGTTTTGCCCAGAGTTCTTCTTTAAGCACATTTTAAGTTGCCTATTCTATTGCAGCTTGATGAGTCTTGGCCAGTATATAATCATAAGCAAATCTCTTCACTTTACCTTGCAAATCTGCTGCAGGGTTCAGTTCCCACCTGTATGGTCATCCTATGCCTACATGTGCTGCAGTTTTCACCCAAAGTTTTACTGTTCGGTTAATGGGCTTCAACCCAGTCCAGGCCCATTGTGTATGAGAGTCTGTGGTGGGGACATTAGATTGTGTGCAGCGAGTAATATGATTGCTCTATGTACTCTGCATAATACTGCAAATGTCGTTGGTACTACATAAAAGAACATTCATTGTAAATTCATTGTTTTATATAACTGGAAAAAGGTAATGTGTATTTTAGCAGATTTTGACTGACATTTTCCAAGCACAAGCCTGACCATTTGTTCTGGAATGATATTGGTTGTTGTGGTACCACGTGTCTCACCCTACATGTCACATTTCCTGTTTTTATCAATCAAGTAATGGAAAGTAGTTCTGTAATTTAAAGGTTGTATGTAATTCTAGTTTGATGGATCTTTAAAGTGAAATAGTTCCACCACATTGGTGTGTTCAATAGCAGAACAGGATTGGAGCTGATCTTGTCTATAAACCGAAAAAGGGAAATTTGCCTTTTTACTTTGTGCCACTGTTTGTTTCTTTAATTGTGCTTGTAGAATTGGTCTTTGCCATCATTACCATATACTTATATTTAACCTTGAGCTGAATTCTACATAATGCGGTGAGGTTACATTTGTTGTTGGAACTTGGCGTTAAAGAAGAGATGCATTGGCAACAAACATAAGTAATATTAGGGCACACATTTTTTTTAAAGCTGCAGATGGTTAATATCGACTCCAAGCACACATTTTGTTTCTTATAAGTTCAGGATAACTTAAGGAGGTACTTTTTATTGTGACATCCTACAGAGGTTTTTCTTTGCTATTAAAGGCCTTTCTTGGAACATGTCTTTGTCTTCCAAACTAACTTTTAAAATTAAATAGCCAAAAAAGTAAACATTTACTATCATAATCTTTATCTGAGTTTCATGTCTTCTGTGGTTGTACTTTTTGTTCCCCATGTGTGTTGTAAAGTAGCCACCATTCCAAGCCCTCTCCGCTGATTGACTGCAATCTCACATTTAGTTTGCTAAGTTTGCATTGAGATTGTCATCTAAACTGACTTTGTTTGGTAACATATTCATAACTTTATAGAAGACCTGTTTAGAAGTGTTTCCCACAGCATTACATAGGGACTACTAGTAGTTCTTGCCATTCTCTCCACATTTGCCATCACACAATAATTTGCAATTAAACCTCTTTTACACTTGTATTTTTATGTGGAAAATATTTACTGGTATATTCAATTCACTTTCAAGATGTGTTGGGGGCACTTGAAATGCACAGGTTTGTGACTGGCCAAGTAGTGTAGTAAGGATAAAGATGACAGCGTGACGCCTGTACCATCAACAAAAAAGTCAAGAGTAATGGTCCCCTTATTTAAGTTTCAGTTCCTTTTGAAGAACAGTTTCCAGTAGCTAAAGCAACCAATTACAGTTCACAAAAATCAGTTTCTATTGGTAAGTGCTCTTTGCACATTTTCATTGCACCACCTTAATAAAACACCCAAAACTTTTTACCATTGCCAGTCCACAAGTACTGCAAACACTGGAGTAATTCATTAGTAGTGGAAAACTGATATTTGACTGCTTTTTATCAGATGTCCGATTTGTGGATGCTGATCTACAATTTAAGTTGGTTACTAGTGCACCCCTCCCCCACTGCCATACCAGGCCATATGCCTCAATTTGGGGGCGGATGCATCACCAGGGGGCATTCTCCCTGGCAAAACATCATGTTCTCATGTTGATGAGGACAATGGCCTCTTCAATACAACCTTGGCCTGGTGATTGTGGGGCTCTGCGGTGAGCAGGGCTTATGTGACTCTGAAATGTAAACAAAGGGGCAGGTATGTCCCTTTGTTTACATTGATCATTGTTATTGATCAATTATGTAACATCCTGCACAGGATTTTAATGCCCATCATCAACATATGTCCTTTTCAGAGATAACATAAGATAAACATTTGAAAAGGCATATGGGGATATGTTTGTTGTCTGGTGTCGTACTAGGTAAAGGTCCGCTTTAAAAACCGAACGTCAACACTAGGTCATTATTTGTGAAATAATGATGTTTGTTTAATACATCATAGATAGCAGGGCTCTTCAAATTTTAATGGTGAAACATCTTGTAAAAAAACAAAGGATAGCCCTGTAAATTTTCCAAAGTGAAGGCATTCCAATTTACTACCAACATGTTTTTTTGTTTTAAAAGTAAAATAATGAAAGAGAATAAAAATAATTTTACATGACCATACAAATACAAACTACTGTAAGTTAAGCTCTTTGTAGCATTTTGTTAGATTTTTGCAAACAATGTCATAATGGCATGTAGAACCATAATTTTGGCTCCTTTTAATTGATTTACTATGAGCCTATTCAGATTACACATTGCTCTAATGCAACACATTACAATGCCTTACATTGGGCAACCCATTCATTTTAATGGGGTGGCAGCAAGCCTAATGCTGCAATTGTTGGTCAGATTATCACCCTGATGAAGGGACCCTGTGTGGCCCTGAAACGTTGGTATTTTCCTTTGTGACAACTTGTCCAAATAAATGGATGTTTATTATTTGAACACCATTTACCGAGTGCTGGTGATTCCTGCTTTTCACTGTTGTTGTGCACGGCGCCATCCGTGAGTATCACTGCGAGCACCACCATTGCTATTTGGCCGGGTATGCTGTGAGTGCGGTGGGACTTACTATCTTCTATGCAAAAATTAGACATTCACCTTTTTTTTTTTTTACATAATGCTCTGCAACACACGTCATGTGCATTGTTCCCAAGAAACTTCTTTAAAGCATGATTAATATAAGTGGATCTTCCCATGCTTGTCCCTGTTGTCTACCTAAATTTTTTAAAAAAAGGAAACCTCACATTTATTAAAACATGTTTGGTTTTACAACTTCAGCTTGGTGTGTGGACTCAGTGATACAGTAATAAGTAATATGCATGCTGGAAGTCCAGATAATGTTCACATTACAAATGCTTATAATTCTTTGCTCTGAATGCAAAAGACCACATTGAGTGAAAAAATAACTTATCTTGCACCACCAAATTGCTCCACTGTATCCCTTTGTCACCCATTGGCAATGCCAGCCCTCCACAGGTAAACAACCGTAAAGCCTATTTCCAATTTTTAAAAAAAGCTACCCCTTGCACTGCAAAGATTACCTGCTCATGTTTGTATAGGGGACCTGTTTAATGAACTTTCTTGCCTGATCCCTGCTCCAAGACAGGTGCCTGCAACCTCTTCCTCTACTCCCTGTGGCGGTCAGAGGCCTGCTGATGTCATGTACAGTGCAGGACCCATAGCACTGCA